GGAAGCCAGTTACAGGAGGCTTGCATAGTAAACCTGTACAAAACAAGTTTCTTAAATAAACAATCGATTTAAGTCGTCAGATTGTAAATAAATTTATTCCTGGAGATGAACAAATCAAGTTTGAAATATAGAATCACGATGGCTTACATCACTTTCTTCGGAGTTTGTATCATAAATTCATACTGTCTTCTGAATATACTGTAATATATATATTCACTATTAATTTAACAGTATATATTGTCGATGATCAGTAATGATAGTGGTGGTGATTCTCTTCTTTATTGCACTGTACATACCAAAATAAAGTTGATTATTGATCAATTCAAATAAATGTTGAAAGGTATGATAACAACTCATGTTTCAATTCTGTGTAGTATTGAGTTGAACAACACATGCATTTTTTTCACTTGATGATTCTATCTCCTCTGATGATGCAGTTTGGCCTGGCTAATGATTCTTTCTCCTGTGATGGATGCGACATATTTCAAGCAAAATTGAAAATTATGCCTGTTTATTTTCTAATTTTGAACCAATTTTAATGTAGCTTGATTTGACTGATTTAATTTATGTGAGTCTTTAAATAGTAAAACATTAACAAAAAATAACATAAATGACAAAAGGTTACAACATATACAATTTTTACACCATTTTTATTACTTTTCAAACATTGCCGATTTTGCATTTTAAAATGTTTTGGCGATATTTTTATTATAGGGGTTTATCTTATTTAATTTAAGTATGTTATTATAATACATTTGAGGTAGACCCTGGCCATATATATATACCATTCTTTGTAATGCAAAAAAAAGTAAGTGGATTGATGGAGTGGTTAAGAAGATATAGGCCGTTGAAAAAGTGCCGATTTTGCACATTTTTGAGACATTTGCGAAAAATTGCCAAAAAATGCAGAGGGACCATACTCGTGGGCCGTTATTTTAAAAACCACATTGCAGAGTGTCCCCAAAAAAAATAGACACATAAAACCCTATGTGATCTACCAGATTGGTGAAAATTAGATGTTTTCTATGATTATTTTTGAAGTTATGGCCCTCCAAAAATGCTCAAAATGGCAATTGATGAAAAACACCGTTTTTTAACCGTTTGACCCCCATTTTTGGCAACTTTGATGGGCCATAACTTTTGAACGGTTTGTTGGATTTCATTCATTTAAACTGGAAAGTGATCAGTGCAGTAAGTTCTGCATATTAAATGAAGAGAGAATTCACAATAATGAATTTGAAATTTCTCATTGGGATACCTACTAGTATTGACGCTTGTGAAATATAATATTTCATAGGAATTATTTCAAATTTGTTAAAAAACTTGATTCTGACTGAGATTTTGACACTTAAACAAACATATCTCAGCCTAACCGAACGACCGCATTGTGCGAGATGCGAAGTACAAAAGTAATCTCATTAGAGAGGGCGCACTTTATTGACTGTATAAAGTATACATAAAAGCGGGAGTATTCCAGTGGATGCGATCTACAACCTCTGAATTTGCCTAGTAACGATGAATTTGTCGAGAAAATGGTAATATTTTATGAGAAATAGTCTGTATATCTCATTTTTTTTATTCTTTTGCGTAAAACTAAAATTCATGCCAATATTTTTCCATGATTTATAATAATTGGAGTAATGCAAATGCATATTTTTTGCCGGGAATGGGGCTTTAAATTCTACTTGACAGAAACATGTGACATGCCTAAATATGGTCATGATGACATCACATCATTACCATATTTAGGCATGTCACATGTTTCTGTCAAGTAGAATTTAATAGTTTGCATAGGGCTTTACTCAGTCACGTGACCACTCTGCCTGAAGGAAATTTAATATATATTTGCAATCTGTACGTCGGTAAAATATTTCTTCAAAAATCGTCTTTAAAAATTGTATTATTTTGTGTGTTTGTTTACAGGTGTTGTCATGGATACATCCGCAGAGTCAAGCTACAATCACAAGGTGCAGTCAGCCTCTTGTAGGCATGGCAGGTAAGAGGAGCAAAGAGGACGAGAAGTACATACAGATGGTGCTTGACGCCAATGCCCAGTCGCATAAACTAGTAATCATGGATGCAAGGCCTAGTGTGAATGCTGTAGCCAATAAGGTAAGATTTTTTCAAGGATGTTTAATTTTATATTTGGATGAACCAATATAATTTCAAAGAGAGTATCTGTTGAAAATAATTATACTCTGCAATTTGCAATGGGATTGTGGCATAGTGGCATGGTTTAATCCTACTATAATGAACATGATTCTTCTGACCATTCTCCACTTTTTAAAGAGCATTTATAATATAAAATGACTTGGTCATAAAACTCTCTTGATGTTTTGGCTTTAGTAGATATAATACAGATGTAAATTTCTTTAAATTGGACCAAAATAATAGTAAAAATAATTGCTTTTATTTATATCAATAGATATGGTTTCGCACAAATTAAAATGCCCTCTATTTCTGTTATCTAAAGAAAAGTTCAGTAGTAAAGAAGAATTGTGTTTTGGGTTGTGATGCATCAATATGGATTATTGTCTTTGTGAGTTAACATTCATGCTTTTCTTGTCCACAGGCGAAAGGTGGTGGCTATGAAAGTGAGGATGCCTATCAGAATGCTGAATTACAGTTCCTTGATATTCACAACATCCATGTGATGCGAGAGAGGTGAGTAAACAAATATAAACAAACACGTCAGATTATAGCACCCCACCCTTAAGTGGGGAGCAGTTGCTCAAGTAAATCCATCATGTTATGTCATAGGATTACTAGATTTGAATATATAATTATGCATATACATAATTCGTATGGATATATTTGTGTTTTTGTAGTGGGCCTTCTCGTTATTCCTTTTTAACGTGACTCATTTGTTATTTTACATTCAATTTGGCACCAAAAAAGAAGGGAAAATAACGGAAAAAAAGCAGAAAACAGATGCATCACATCTTCGCAACAGCGCCACCAACATGCCAGTGTAAAAGTCTATGCAAAGAGAATTTGAGCAGTATTATTTTAATCTGTTAATTGATGATGATTATTTGTGGTTCACATTGAAGTTAATCCAGTTATCTGGATTACAATAATCCGGTTTAACTGGACTAAATTTGGTGTAAACCATACAGTTATATCTGGTTAATGGTGTTTAATTACTAGAGTATATTACAGTATATTAGTCCAGTGAAAGTGTCAGGATAAAAAAAAAAAACCAAATGAGATATTGTTATTTTAATCAAGATCACAAATAAACCAATCAAACCAATTGCTTATCTTAATCCAGGTTATAAGCTGTAATAATTTGCATAACTAGACATTCAATGTGAACTAGGCTAATATTTTCAAGTTATTCATTGATTGTTATGTATATGATATGAAGCAAGCAATTTATTTTTTCCTCAACACAGACAATTATACAGCTGTCTCTTATACACATCTAGATGTGTATAAGAGACAGTTTTAATAGAGCATGCCAGTGGCACGCAACAATGACAAAAATATTCTATCATGCAGTGCAATCTATTTACACACCATGCGACAACAGCCGCGACATACGCAATATTCATGGCTTGTTCTGCAGTAGTGTACATTCATAGAAGAATGACTTTATTGACTGTATAAAGTATACATAAAAGCGGGAGTATTCCAGTGGATGCGATCTACAACCTCTGAATTTGCCTAGTAACGATGAATTTGTCGAGAAAATGGTAATATTTTATGAGAAATAGTCTGTATATCTCATTTTTTTTATTCTTTTGCGTAAAACTAAAATTCATGCCAATATTTTTCCATGATTTATAATAATTGGAGTAATGCAAATGCATATTTTTTGCCGGGAATGGGGCTTTAAATTCTACTTGACAGAAACATGTGACATGCCTAAATATGGTCATGATGACATCACATCATTACCATATTTAGGCATGTCACATGTTTCTGTCAAGTAGAATTTAATAGTTTGCATAGGGCTTTACTCAGTCACGTGACCACTCTGCCTGAAGGAAATTTAATATATATTTGCAATCTGTACGTCGGTAAAATATTTCTTCAAAAATCGTCTTTAAAAATTGTATTATTTTGTGTGTTTGTTTACAGGGGTTGTCATGGATACATCCGCAGAGTCAAGCTACAATCACAAGGTGCAGTCAGCCTCTTGTAGGCATGGCAGGTAAGAGGAGCAAAGAGGACGAGAAGTACATACAGATGGTGCTTGACGCCAATGCCCAGTCGCATAAACTAGTAATCATGGATGCAAGGCCTAGTGTGAATGCTGTAGCCAATAAGGTAAGATTTTTTCAAGGATGTTTAATTTTATATTTGGATGAACCAATATAATTTCAAAGAGAGTATCTGTTGAAAATAATTATACTCTGCAATTTGCAATGGGATTGTGGCATAGTGGCATGGTTTAATCCTACTATAATGCACATGATTCTTCTGACCATCCTCCACTTTTTAAAGAGCATTTATAATATAAAATGACTTGGTCATAAAACTCTCTAGATGTTTTGGCTTTAATAGAAAGTAAATAATAATAATAATAATAATATTTTTAATAGTAAAAATACTTACTTTTGTTTATATAAATAGATATGGTTTCACACAAATTAATATGCCCTCTATTTCTGTTATCTAAAGAAAAGTTCAGTAGTAAAGAAGAATTGTGTTTTGGGTTGTGATGCATCAATATGGATTATTGTCTGTGAGTTAACATTCATGCTTTTCTTGTCCACAGGCGAAAGGTGGTGGTTATGAAAGTGAAGATGCCTATCAGAATGCTGAATTGCAGTTCCTTGATATTCACAACATCCATGTGATGCGAGAGAGGTGAGTAAACAAATATAAACACGTCAGATTATAGCACCGCACCCTTAAGTGGGGAGCAGTTGCTCAAGTAAATCCATCATGTTATGTCATAGGATTACTAGATTTGAATATATAATGATGCATATACATAATGCGTATGTGTGTATGGGTATATTTGTGTTTTTGTAGTGGGCCTTCTCGTTATTCCTTTTTGACTGTTTTTTAATGTGACTCATTTGTTATTTTACATTCAATTTGGCACCAAAAAAGAAGAATAAAAAAAGAAGAAAAAAGCAGAAATAGATGCATCACATTTTCGCAACAGCGCCACCAACATGCCAGTGTAAAAGTCTATGCAAAGAGTATTTGAGCAGTATTATTTTAATCTGTTAATTGATGATGATTATTTGTGGTTCACATTGAAGTTAATCCAGTTATCTGGATTACAATAATTCGGTTTAACTGGACTAAATTTGGTGTAAACAATACAGTTATATCTGGTTAATGGTGTTTAATTACTAGACTACAGTATATTAGTCCAGTGAAAGTGTCAGGATAAAAAAAAAACAAATTAGATATTGTTATTTTAATCAAGATCACAAGTAAACCAATCAAACCAATTGCTTATCTTAATCCAGGTTATAAGCTGTAATAATTTGCATAACTAGACATTCAATGTGAACTAGGCTAATATTTTCAAGTTATTCATTGATTGACTTGTTTATATGCTATGAAGCAAGCAATTAATTTTTTTCTCAACACAGACAATTATACAGAATATTTAATAGGATTTTAGGAAATTTGAGGAATAATGTACAGAGCAAAGATATTCTGTACGTGATAATCGCTTTGTTTACAAGATACATTTCCATGTGGTATTGATTAAGTTGTTTGCATTACCTTGACAACCATTTTGGTGTTGATGTTATTATTAAAAGATCATTGCTGTAGAAGACCAAAATTACAATAAATCAGCCTAGTTTTAAAATTGATTTCGGTTTTTGTTTTTTTTCTTCCTACAGCTTAAGAAAATTAAAGGAGATCTGTTTTCCGAGCATAGATGATCATCATTGGCTAAGCAATTTGGAATCTACACATTGGTTAGAACATATCAAGGTAATATAGAGGGTGCTATTACCTTTGATAGAGGGTGCTTTTTGAAAATATATAAACATTTTTAAATTAATAATAAAAAAGAAAACAATTTTGAATAAAAATAAAATTAGATAATAAAATGATTAAGAATTTGAATAAAGTTAAACTATATTTTTTTACCAATGATATTTTTGTGTATTTTCTACAGCATTAAATTTATTATTATTATTATTATTATTATTATTATTATTATTATTATTATTATTATTATTAATTATTATTAATTATTATTATTATTTATTATTATTATTATTGTTATTATTATTGTTATTATTAATGAACTATAATGTATTTCTAGTATTTGTTACTAGGTAGTGGTTCTCTGATTATGTGACATAGTGATTCAATTCACTTAGGACTCTGTCTAGCTGTGTCCTTGTTTGATGGTTTATTGTTTGACAAAAAACAATAAGTCAGTAGAGGGCACTACAGTTATTCCTAATTGGTGTCATTTATTAATACTTCTGATTCATGTACTGAAATTTGAAATGTTTATGATTACAGCTTATTTTGGCCGGAGCAGTACGTATAGCAGACAGAATTGAGAATCAGAAGACGTCTGTGATCATCCATTGCAGTGATGGCTGGGACCGAACATCTCAACTCGGCGCCCTCGCTATGATCATGCTTGATCCTTACTATAGAACAATCCGAGGCTTTGAAGTACTTATAGAGAAAGAGTGGTTAGCAATGGGTCATAAGTTCTCACAGGTGAGTCAGTGCTTATTACCTCTGCCAAGGAGGTTATGTATTCACCCTTGTCTGTCTGTCTGTCTGTTAGCAAGATTACAAAAAAACTAAGGAATAGATCATCATAACATTAAAGGCCTGTTTATACTTCAACGATAACGATAAAAAAGCTGAAAAGCGATTGTTTATATAGAAAACAAAAGAATTAAGAGAAATTTTTACACTAGGACGATTCGATAACGATTTATCGTGTATACGATAACAAAATATTTTAACAAATCAAATCAGATGACGTCATAATCATGGAAAAACGATAAAATCGTTGCTTCTACTACGATTTTAATGTTTTTCCATGGTTATGACGTCATCTGATTTGATTTGTCAAAATATGTTGTTATCGCATAACTGATAAATTGTTATCGAATCGTTCTAGTGTAAAAACTTCTCTTATTTCTTTTATTTTCCATATGAACAATTGCTTTTTAGCTTTTTTATCGTTATCGTTTAAGTATAAACAGGCCTTAAGAATGGTACGTAATGATTTATGAAAGAGATGATTAACTTTTGGAAGTCAGAAATCAAGAAATCAATCTAGGAAATTTGATTTTTCCCTTGGACTTGTCCTCCATTATAGAAGACGATAATGGAATAACCCAAAGAGATTTGTACATGAGACAGAACGCTTGCTAAATATCACACAGGCTTGAGAATTTCCATCAAGATTAATGTTAGCTTCTTATTCTTGGTTTTCAATTTTTAAAGTCACATGTTTTTTTAGCATTTAAAATCATGTTGTATCTATTGTGCATTATTTTCACAGAGACATGGTCATGGCGATAAAAATCATGCTGATGCCGATAGATCGCCAGTGTTCCTTCAATTTATAGACTGTGTCTGGCAAATAACAAGACAGGTATGTCTGAATTAAGAACATAAAACTACTTCAAAATATGCTATACACTGTCTGACTAGGACTAATATATTTCAACAATGAATTTCAATATATGAACTGCCCTTACTACATAATAGATCTTTTTTGAGTGTCAATCAAATTAATAACCAGCCAGAACAGAGCTAGGAATACGTGCTCATTCCACAAACGTGTTTCCCCACAACAGCACATGTGTTTTTGTGGGGCAAAAGGTTCCACAAACATGTGTTTCCCCAAAAACAAGATTTACTTTCACGCTTTTATTCTGTGTGAACTTAGCAAAAATATCCATTGAACTGGAATTAGCGGAGAGGTACATTTTTCAACTGATTTGAATTGAAAATTTGATCAAGAAAATATTTTACTTACAATTAAACAGATGAATTAATTGCATGCAATATAGTCAAATGTGAGGAACGCTATAAAAAAAATAGAAGTACTTCGGTCAAATAGAACTATGTATCACATTTTGTTGCTGCAATGTGTTATTTATGATTTTTAAATTACTTGAATCTTGTATTTCAATCAAAATTTAAATTGCATTTTTTATTACATATACTGATTGTGTAATTTGATATCTTGACTGTATTTTTTTTTTTTTTAATTACAGTTCCCAAATGCGTTTGAATTTAACGAGAGTTTTCTAATAACGATTTTGGATCACCTGTACAGCTGTCTGTTTGGAACATTTTTGTTCAACTGTGAATGCGAACGAGTGAAAGAGGTAAAAATGTCTATCTGCATCTTAGAGTTATTACTTGAGTGCTAATTCCAGTGCAAATTTCAGAAAATTTATGTTTTACACCAATTGGCCAAGCGTACCACTGCTTTAACTTATTGATGGTTCAAATAGAAATATTAGAAAACATACAATCAAATGTAAGCAAACCAATCATGCTGGGTTACACAAAATCTAATGCCACTCTTTTGACTTTTTTAGTGGTTCCTAGACCTCTCACTTACAACTTTAGAATTTTTTTTTTATCTACGTCCACATGCCAAATTATTCTTTATCTGAGCCATGCCTTTGGATATACTTCATGTTTGCTAGTACTGGTTTAAAATCCCAAAATTTGCCCCCCAAAAAAATCAGATTCTAAAGAATTCCAAAACATGAGCTGATGTAAATAATTAGTCTGCATCTATTTATTTAATTAATTAATTTTTTTAAATTAATTTATTTATTTTTATTCATTTATTTATTTATATATTTATTTATTTATCTATTTAGTACCTTCCTTTTCAGAGAGGTAGCACTTTCTTCCATTTTACTTTACTTTTATTTTATTTAGCATCCATTCAAATACAATGAACAATATAACATAACATTGATTCCTCGGTAGAGAGAAGCAATTTGGATAAAAGTCTTGCCCAAGGACACAAGAGAAATGCCCTGTAAAGGATTGAAACCCCGGCCTCCAGGTTGGGGATCCAAACCATTTCCCTTGCAACTACTTCCATTTGTCTACACTTACATTTGATTAAGAATAAGGCTCCTTATTTTCACTGGCGGATTAAAATTTGTATTAAGAAAATACCGAAGAGTATAGAATTGCAAGTACCACCACAAGATATGGGGAAGGACGGCCTTCAATTTTTTGAGAAAAAATTGCGTTATAACAAAAGCCCAAGAGTCAGACTTCTTGCAGTTCTCAGAAGAAAAACTGAGTACTGAATAAAAATTGTTATACCAGGCATTGCTAATCATAATTACTATAAAATATAAACTAATTTTCATTGTTCTCCACACCAGGAGGTAAAGACCAAAACAGTGTCCTTATGGTCGCACATAAACAGCACGCCCGACGAGTTCAAGAACCCGCTTTACGCATCCTACCTCCATCAACACGTGCTCTTTCCCGTAGCTAGTATGCGACGTATTGAGTTATGGACGTCCTACTACATCCGCTGGAATCCTAGGATGAAACCACAGGTAATTAATCGACCAACTCATTGTGTTTATTTACTCAATTTTAATTAGTTCATTCGATTTCGTTGATCTCTTTCTAAATGTCAACGATTTGAGATCTCTATCAGTAGGGATGTACTTGTCTCTATTTTATCTAGGTCGACATGCATGTATTTAAATGAACCTTTTGTTATAATTAATTACTTTGTACTGTAAAGCACTTTATTTCCATGGTCCTAGATTTTCGCGATTTCACAATTTAAAATAATTTGCAACCTTATATTTTCACACACAAATATTATTCAGTATTTCGCGATTTTGGCGCGCCCTTAAGATCGTTATAAGTGCTATATTGTATATGTATTAGGCATTTTTTTTCTAGTTGTGGAATAAATTGCACATATTATTATTTTCCATAATAAATGAATAATGGATTTGATAAACTGATGTATTGATTAACATTTTTTTTTCAATTATAGTGGCAGTGTATTTCTATAATACTTATAAGTCTTTTCAGGGTGCTACACAAGAAATTTCACTATAATGTATTAGACATTTTTCTTTAGATATGATTTATGTACTTTCACTTTTGTGTATTATAGGTTTTGATTCTGCAATAAATGATGATTGATTGATTTCTTTTTTTTTACAAATATAAATGGTAGTGTGTTTCTAAAAAGCTTTCTGCATTATACTATTTCTCAGATTGCTCGTTTAATAGATTATTAAAAAGAATTGCACCAGAAAATAACTAGCACTTAACAATAAATTTTTTTTTTTAAACCTGTAAAATAACGCTAAAGAAACATCAACCTACCCAAAAGCCAGCCAGCAAGACAGACAGTTAACTGCCACTGTTACAGTTGCCATGATAATATGGGCATCTAACTAATCTAGCAAACAGGGTTGTTTAGTTATGATGGATGGAGGTGGGCGTGGCTACCCAGCCTTGTAGTTTTCCATCCAGCCTAAAGCTAATTTCATGGCCCTTCACCCACAATTATTAAACCCCCCCCCCTCCCTTGCCCATCATTAAAATCCGCTCGAATTATTTAGAGTTTACCAATGTTATCACCCACCCACCGGTAAAATGTCAACCACCCACATATAGTCAAATTTTATGGTCAATAAAATCAACAAGTTTACAGTATTTTATTCTAGAAACGATGATATAAAGTCATGAATGGCCTTGGTATACTCTTAAAAATAAAGTTTTATGTCTAATCTTAATATATAAATTTCCTAATTATAGTTGAGTGCAATCATGAACTATAAAATTATCAAGATAGAGGAATATGGTCCTCTTGGCAAACTTAATTACATTTTAATAATAAACATTCTGTAAGCTAATATCATTGGCTGGTCTGAATCAATGGATTGATTGCATCTGAGAAAATGATGTAGTATTTATGAAGATACCACATTAGGGAATTTCTTTTCCCTTCTAAATTTATTTAGTAATATAATCTTTTTATAATTAAAGATTATAAAAGTAAGTGAAAAAATGTTTGGATTATCCACAATTTTTTTATTTAATTATTTGGTATTTCTTTCAAATTTGCGTTCATTAAAGTATATTTTTGAGGCAAACATATTTTAATTAAATTTATGTATTTTGGATTGAAAATTAACTTAAATAATATTAATAGTAATTAAAATAAACCCATTCATTTTTAAAGTTAAGAAATATTTGATAATAATTCATGGTTTTTATTCAAAATTCAGTTACAGTCATATGAACAAATAAAACATGGCATTTCTTGAAGATAATAAAATAATAAATGGTAGGGATTGATCCCTAAATTGCAAATTATTTACAAGCAATACGATTGAAATTGGAAACTCATATGATAATTTATATTTACACTTGAAAACTACAGAGTAACAAAAATGGAATCAAATTTGTGTATTTTTTATTGCAAAAAAAAAAGAAAATAATTTTCTAAGGAACATAACATATGTTAAACTTTATAATTTCAGGAACCAATCCATCAAAGAAATAGAGAACTACTTGAACTTCGAGCTCATTTACAGAAGAAGGTTGAGGAATTGCAGAAAGAAATTGAGGCCAGGGACCTAGGGTTGCAGTCATCTGCAAGGGGCGATACGTCACCTCCTAGGGTAGCTAGCCCGATCAATGCGTGAGGCCTGGTGTGTTCAGAGGAAGACAGCTATCCAACGGTCATAAGGATCCATTCTTAACTGGTCAATTTTAACCATAGCTTTTAATTTCACTGATGATCTTAAATTTAATGTGATCAATTTTGTGTAATGTGCTTATATATAGGCATGATGTTGTCATATTACACCCAAATTTGGGCATATCACGGTAATATTTTTCACATAAAATTTAATAGTGTAGACGGAGTTTACAATGTCAATATTCACGCCAGTGAAACCTTAGAAACAGTCATAATTACCAGAAAACAAACAAACTACTCCTTAGCCACTGCTTTTTTTTGTTTCTTATGCGAATATCAATATAATTTCTGGATGTTGCATCACGTAAATTCAAGCATCAGCTCATTGCATAATTATGTAGAACAACAAAAGACGTGTCTCCATTTCTTCAGCAAAAAGTCATTTTATGGTAATAGGCATTGTATAATACAGCACGGGTATCTGCAGTTTTTAATGGAAACTTGAATTTTTTATATCCCTCATCAATTTTGTTTCCACAAAGGGAGCCATAAATGACACAACCTACTTTAAGTAGGTATAAAAATATGCCAGCTAGATTGTGTTGTATATAACTATCATTAAAAAAATGGCAATATGGTCCATAGTGCTTTGGGTATAAGTCTATCTCGAGTATGAGCCCGGCCCATCCACTTTATGCCCGATTTTATGTACCAGTGTTTCCCAGACAAAAGCCCAATGTCTGATTTGAATGAATTTTACAAATACTTAACAGAAAAATGCATGATCATGTAGCGTTGAAAAGATGCTTTTTGATTGGCTATCTCTACAATTAATAGAGCATGCTGTTGGTTGCAGAAAGGATCATGATTTTTTTTATTGTGAAAATGGGAAATCCCTAGTATAAGCCCATCCCCCACCCAACAAAATTAGCACAATTTTGTGTTTATGGAGTAGAGCAAGAGAACTACGGTAATGTTTTGATTTGTAGATGGTTAGTGTTAAGACTGTTTATAGACCGCTGATAGCAGTCCACCTCAAGAGGGTGCTCCAGTCTCTAAATTCTTGCTACGAACGGTGACGGATGGAGTATAAGTCATCAACTGTTGTAAATTAATTTCAAAGGACTTGTGTAATTTATTAAGTTAAAAATAGGAATTGGTTGTAGGGGAATGTTGCATTAATGATGCTGTAGGATTGTTTTATTCCTGTGGGAGTATACTGCAAAAAGTAACAGTAATAATAATAATATAAGAGAGAGCGAAATTTTTAGGGTACTAACTTTTTTAATCAAGTAAATGATAACAATAGTATCGTAGTACTGGTGCAGACTTTACAATATTGGCATCATTGAATTAATTTTTTAAATCCCAAAATTAATAATGATTTTTATTCTAAACCGGAATACAAAATATAAAATACAAACTTTTGGGATATTAAAGATTTATAAGCCTTATAGATTATTAAAAATATCAAAATCAGATTACTCTCCATAGATATAAATACAAATACCCTGTGTGTGTGTGTGTGTGATGTGTACCGGTGTTCTTTTCAATGATCATTTACGTTGATTAGAGTACCCTTTTTGATATATATACTCTTCTATATTTGAGCTTTTGACCCCTGGTAACATAACAACCCTTTTGAATATGAGCACTTGTCAATATATAAGTGCTGTCATATATAGGAGTGTGCCCCCTGTTAATATAAGTTCTCACTTTCACCTGAGAGTGTTTCCCCCCTGGTTAATTTAAGTAATAGTAACTCATAATGGTTTGATGTCCTAATTAAGGAGTCTGTACAATTATTGTAATGTATCTGCTCTTAGTTTATGATATTGCATTATTATACCCGTTGTGCTGACGTATACATATTGTGTTCCTAAATAATGAATCAGTTTTTTAGTGCAATAGAATATATTGGAAATTTGATATAATTGATAAATGCACAGTACAAAAATTATACAGTCCAGGCCTATGTTTCTTTCTCCTCCTTATTTACACCATCAATGAATGATTACCTCAGGAGAATTCTATGCTGGTTTTATTTGTTTATTAGTTTATGTGCTTGTTCGCATCTGTGATGTTTTTTTTTTTTATAGCTTCCTTGGTTAATATCAGATATGTTACATGGGGCTTGTAGTTTCTTCTTGTTTAGTTAATAATATTATTCAATCAATTATTCTATTAATTAAATAATTAATTTTATAGTTTTAATATTACTTAATTATTGCACCCATATATTTTTTTAATCACTCAGTAAATTTCAATAAATAATGTAGACATTTATTTTATATATTATATTTTATTAACTTATGCATGAAGACACTGAAGCCTAATCAGTGGCGTATCCAGAGGAGGGCGTGTGGGGGCACTCCCCCAAAAAATTACTCGCCTCCCCAGTCGTCCTCCAAAAAGCAAAGTAGTTAAAAATCATCTAAAATCACTATGTTTTGTGAATTAGCGCCCTTCAACTCGAGCCCCTTAACTGATCATTGAGCCCCCCTCAACTGATCATCAACCCCCCCACTTCACATTCGCGCCCCACCAGCCCCCCCCCCCCCCCAATTTAAGACTTCTAGATACGCCAATGAGCCTATTGGCCCTTTCCAGAGTGTCACTCGTAACAACTGACCAATCAGAACAGTGAATGCACGCGTGTCCAACACACACGCGTTGTCCCTCAAACGCACCTGTTTACGAACATTTTACACTATTGTTTTGTGAGACCTTAGCAACAGTGTCCAGGGGCAGGGCTTAGCGGAGATATCCATTGAATTACTCTTGTATTCTTTTTGTTAATATTATTAGTAGTTAAAAATAATAATATAATAATAATAATTAAAATAATAATAATAATAATTAAAATAATAATAATAATAATTGAATGAATCAATCAATCAATCAATCATTAATTATCATTTGGGGTTTATAGGAGCTGTATCTCAACCAGTTTTCACAATATTATAAAGTTCAGAATGCTTCCATTTTAAACTACCATTTAAGGATGATTGTAGGCTCACTACGATTATTATAGACCATGTAGGAACAAGACACTTCATTTTCAACTATTGTCTCATTGATTTTTGCACTAATTGCGTTTCATACATGATAGTTTGCTTTTAACTGCTCCACTGGTTATTATTATAGAGGTGCACATAATTGTGCTGTAATTCATGGACAAAACGATTTTCTTGTTATAGACCATGTAGGAACAAGACACTTCACTTTCAACTATTGTCTCATTGATTTTTGCACTAATTGGCGCTTCATACATGATAGTTTGCTTTTAACTGCTCTACTGGTTATTATTATAGAGATGCACGTAATCGTGCTGTAATTCATGGGCAAAACAATTTTCTTATACTTTAGATCAATTTCCAACAGAACTAGGCCTAGTACGAAATACGCTGGAGAATTTCTTGTCCCGATTTAAAAGATCTTCGTATAAAGTTAGACATTGTATGCCATTAAAATATGGCAGTGGTTAAAATTTTTCGAATTTCTCTATGGATGTAGTTATCGTTTGATTACCCGATTGCAAATTACTTACTGACTCGAGCACTCCCTCGGACGTGAAAGTATTTTTATGTCTTCCCTTTTAAAAAAATGGTGAATATCAAAATTCTTATAACTGTATGTATTTTAATAAAAAATTAATTAACAAATTAGATTTTTAATGAGGCTTGTAATTTTTAAATAAACTGTGTTATGTTTATTTCATTCGCCAAGTCTATCATACTAAAGGGATGGTATTAAAGCTCCTTTCTAAGACTTATTAATGAAATTATGTTGGTTTTTAAAAATTCATGTTAAGGTGAACTTTAAATTATTTATGACTCTGATAATTAAATTTTAGCAGAAGGGAAAAAATTACCAATGCTGATGTAATTTAAGAAAAGATGCTTTAGACAATAAATATTAATAATACTTCATAGATGTGGTTTTCTTTTTCAATTTGTATTTGAAAGAGAACCTTTTATATTTAATGTAGTAATGTACTATAGTGGGTGTAGCCTACTCATGTTAAAGCGATTTCTTCCTGTTGGCTGTATGTTTTATTAAACTAGGAGAAATTTAGAATTTTGTCATTAGCCATATTTTAAGAACTTTCAAAGGTGTATAAATTCATTAATAATATCAATAAAGAATGTCCAACTTGAGCTCTTGTGTTTCTTGAACAATTCCAGTACTGGTAGTGTTGAATTGAATTTCCGATTTATTTCGCGACGACGGAAAAGATAATTATATTAAAGGTTTCGCAAGCTTACGTAAACGATAACGAATAAGGCTACGTCACCAAAGATTAATCCATTCTTAAGCTTTGTCTCTACACTATCAAATTTCTTCAAAAAGCATCACATGAAATGTGATGGAAAATAAGAGTTGAACACTTTTTTTTTATACAATCACATTTTTTTGTCGCATAAAAAATGATAGTGTAGACAAGATTTACAGTGGCATGTTTGTCATAACGATCATATTTTTTTTTTTGTATTTTATTTTGTAATAAAAAAAAATATTTTTTTTTTGTAATTAAGTAAGACAGGTTCTGTACACATATCGTTTTTAACTAATGTTTGTATTTTTTTTTTTTTTTTTTGTATTTGCTCAACTTGTAATGTGTACGTTTTATGGACTCACCACTATTCTGTGTACAAAAATTACTGAAGCTCGTATATTGTCAAGAATGTTTTATTCGCGAATGACGATAATGCAGATCAAGTACTGTATTCGTAATATTGCGAAATCTCCCTATTGTGACGTTATGTGATGTTGTAACGTCACATAGACATAGCGAAGGCTCAACTCCAGACCAATTTATGTTGAACCTACGTTGTGTAGACAATGCAGGATGGACAGGGGTGGTGGGGTGCCAGCAATTCCCCCCAACAAGGGGTGCAAGCTCCCTGACAAGGGATCCACAACCCCTTTCCCGTCAGGGATACAATTAATTTGTCGGATTTTTTTTAAATTAAAAGGTAGTAAAATTTTGTATTTATTATTGGATTCTTTATTTAAAAAGGATGTTGGGGTAGGGCCTTGCTGGAAATTCCCCGATGGGGGTCCAAGTAGGGTGGGGGTGGGCCCAGAGGTCCCCGACGGTGGTCCTTTTCACTCTGGACCTCCACTAGCGCCGCCCCTGAGGACGGACATTGGTATTGTAAACCGATCTACCTGCAACAGCGTGAGCCTCGGGATCTCTAATGCTTAGTTATATCATAATACTGTAGTATTATATATTTACGTCTCAAACAAGTCTCGATGCACCGGTTCTGGATTAAACTACTCATTCGATCTATTCTCATCCTCTCTAAATTCAAGTAACTCCTGGTAACTTACATTTTCCATTTATAGTTGTATTTATAACATTGCGCTGATTTTATTTTTTAGTTATGGATTATATAAACTTTATTTGCTGAAAGCTTTAATATTTTATCTTTAATAATATAAATTCATCACGACACTTACAATTATTTGTGGACATTAGAGAAAATATGTATTACATTATGTATAATATTAACTTCATGTTTCGGAACGTTTAGTTAATATGGCATCACTCTCTATTTGTAGTCACTTTTGTTTTACTTTACTTGAACATAGTCAATGCACCATTTGGACATTAGCATTAACATCAATTGACATAGGGAGATTTCGATTTGCGCGATGATGCGACACTAGAACGGATTCGCTCATGCGACCGGTTGTGATTCTTGTGAATTCTTAGGGTGTTTTGATGATTTGTGTTTCGGTTTCGTATCCTTGTTATCTGATTGTTCTTTTTCCAATTTCGACTTCTTTTCTAGTTTTGTTATCCGTTGTTTCAGCTTCATTTGCGATTTATGATATTCCGCCAGTAGTCGAGAGAATTTAGTTTGTAAAGTTTCTAAGCGTTCCTCCACGCTAGAAAGTAGTTCCTGTTGTTTGATCTCATCCGGGCTCTTGCCGCCTCTTCTTGCAACTTCCTCGTCAATGAGGTCATCCTTACGCAATATCTGCTTACCTCGTTCTTCCAGCATTTTCTTCGCTTCTGGATATTCCTTTAGAGCGACCAATAGGTCATCTTTTGACAAACAAAAAAGATCAGAGTAGCCAACGCTTCTGACACTGGCCGTCCGCCGGTTTCCAGACAGGCTGCCTGGCACGTTCAGAATACTCAGCTCTCCAAAATACGACCCATCACCTAGTGTTACAAATACAATTTTACCATCCTCGCTGACAACATCAAGTTTTCCTTGCTTTACAATATACATTTCTCTACCGATATCCCCCTTTCGGCAAATATAATCGCCAGGGCTGTATACCTGTGGCTTCAACTTTAAAACCAGTTCTACTAATAAACCTGGCTCGCAGTCTGAGAAAATAGACACTTGCCTTAAAGTGTCCAAGTGTACATGTAACGCAATTTCTGCACGCAGTTTTTCCGGTAACGCGTTCAAGATTGCTTCTTCGTCTAGTGTTTTCTTATTTGACCACAGGTAGTCAAACCACTTGATGACACGTCCTTCTAGCTCTTTGCTTACCTTCCGTAAACGCATGTATTGTTTGATTCCGTCCATTCGTGACTGAAAATCAGCCCTTGCTAGGTTCATGTTACTGATCATGGAACCAACGTTACCGACAATTGTGGCAAAAATCAAAACGCCAACCAAGAAATCAACAATAACAAACGCATATTCGACATCAGTCTCGGGTGCTGGCGTTTCACCAATGGTAGTCAGGGTCAACGTTGACCAATATAAACAATAGATGTACTGTCGTCTCAGAGATTTCCATTCACCAGTGTTGTTATAAACCCATCCGTCTTCACCATAACCAATCGTTTTAGAAATTTCAAAATATAAACAAGCGTTCCAATGTATAATGATCACAATGTACATAATTAGGTTCACTATTCGGAAGAAGTTTGGGTAGTTGGTGATGGTTTCGGTCCTGTCAAAACACTCGAGCGCACGCGGGAAGCGTAATAATCTCGAAAAGCGAAGGGCAGCATTTTCTTTGACCAATAGAAATAAATCGGCTGGAAATAGTGAAATACAATCCAATACGAACGTACGTGATTTCATGTAGTGTTTAGCGAGAAGTTTTCTATCGGTCACGAGTAAACCTTGGTCCAAATAACCTGTGGTAAATAACAAACAGCACTCATATTATTGTCAATGCCCACCAAACCCAGAATGTATTAAAATATGTTGCTGCTATTAAGATATTAATAATTGAATAATTGTATAATCGATGACTTATTCTTGTGGATTTTCTAATGACTAAAAAGAATTTTGCTTTCTCCAAATTTCTCCAAAATGTTTCATATGGTAATTCTTTTCTGATCTATAATTGTGCTGAAGTACACGTGAAACCTCAACAATATATACATATATATATATATATACATACATATACATATATACATATATATATATATATATACATACATATATATATATATACATACATATATATATATATATACATACATATATATATATATATACATACATACATA